TTATAGCCGTCTGAATAAATGATTATTTTAAACGTGAATGAGCTGAATTTTCTCAATTAATCAGTGCGTACAGTTGTTTCATCCAAGAAGCGAGGAAGTGCAACTAGTAATTACCTTAGTATATGCTAATCTCACAGCCTGAACCTCAGACCAAATGTTACCAGAGCGTTACAGACGACACTGGGTTTGGTATGGCTGTCGTTCACCTTAAATTAACACGCGTTCTACTCTACCACATCGTTCTACGACGTCTAGGAATCATATCCCAACTGCGTACCTGGCTGTAGTTTAGTTTCGCATAGGTTTTTGCAAAGGTCTGAGCGCTGGAAGTTGTTCGTGTTTCCTCCGCAGCCGCCGTAAAGAAATTCCTCGCATTTCTGGCTCTTCTTGTTGTAGCACCAGCGAACACGGTACTCGCGGCAGGGCCCAACTTCGGCCGAGTGCTTGCAAAGTTTGTGGATCCGGTTTTCTGCAAAACGAGGATCGTATTGGAGGTACGAAGCGTGCGTCAAGAGTTCGTCTGTGTTAACGGAAAACAAGCATACACAACGAACGTGTGCAAGGCCATGAGGTGCATTCACTCGGAGCACCTCACACGGCGTTGGAAAAGAAAACGAACACAGAAGAAAAACGAGCAACAGCAAGAAGAGCACAGTCTTACCGTTGTCGACGGCGACCGTTGCAGACACAGCCACAGCCACGATCAGAACAAGGGTAATCGCGCTTAACATCGTTCGACCGCTCTACCACAGCCTCCTACTACATGTAATGCACTCACGGCACACCGTTGTTGGATAATAAGCGTTACCAATAGCCGTACGTCGGCTTATATAGAGACGAGAAGGACGGAATTTAGGCAAACTCGAATCTTATTTCACTTTTTTGCACATCACCAGTTCCAACTATCATTGCGAATCTGGGTCGAACCAAAAACTAAAAAGCCAACAAAAAGAATGGGGCGTCATTCCTTCGGTGTAGATGGCGGGCCCCTTAGCTGGTAGCCTGTCGGCAGGCTGGCCGGCCCGGCTGGGAACCTGTTTTCGGCAGGTCGTGAGTAATCCACGGAAGATTTGGCAGCATTAGGACAAAAAGCCAATGAAACACCGGCCGGGTCATCCTCGTCTGGCTTTGCCACGGCCGCCACCACCTCCTACGCCAGTGCCGCTGTCTCGCTGCCGTCTGCAGGCCGCTCGCAGCGCCATCCACGCGGAGGACCTTCGTCGTGCAAAGCCCGTTCGGCCATACAGTCGCCTCGATTCATCAAGTGACCCGAAAAACGGGTATATAAATCAGTGCAACTCGAAGCCATTACGAACAACAACAACATGCGAGCGCACATCACACAAAAGACCCTTCTAACAATAACTGCAAGCAGAGCAGCACCTCGCATCGCCTCCAAACTTTCAGATCACGCCGACGACTGTGGCGGCGGCTTTATCCCGGTTTAACGTAATTCAACGAATGGCCGCGTTGCGACTACCTCTCGAACGCCACTGTTCAACGAATAGCAACAGGTCACCAGAACGACAACTCGTAACGTTGGATTTCAAAGCCCACCTCCGTTCGATTTGGCTTTGGCGGTTGTGCTCGGTTTCTTAATTCTGAATTGAAAGTGAAAGTCTGACAGTGAAGGTCGGCAACCTGCTCTGATCAAACCTCCTTTCTTCTGATACCTCGCCTCGTGTGCGCCTTCTTTTTCGCGATCATTGATTATGAACAAACGAGTCAACAACCTTCACTCATCCTTCATCAGACCTGTCCTCGTTATGGGTGCAAAAATGCAAACGGACGCTAGTCCAACGATTTTCATTTTTGTTCTCTTCCTCTATCATTGGCCAAGAAACTTCACCGCTGGGTATCCATGAAGATGAATCGCCAAGAGGACGTTTCTGGTCCAAAAGAATGCAGCACAGTCATGAGTCAAATTTGTTTGCAGTTATTTTCGATTTCTACCATATGTCAAAACGAACTACTGCGTCTTTAACTCTTGTACTTTTCGTTCTTCTTCATCGGCGCTAATTTTAGCAATAATAGTACCTGGGGCTTCAGGTTTCCAACTACCCTTACTGTAAGGGGAATCAGGTAAAGAGGAATGATCAACATCTCAGCAATATACACAATTCGTTAATGAACGCAATCTGGGCTCTGTTTTTCAGTGTTGCTCTACTCTTCTCTGTGATAAAGGGAAAGCACAATTGCTGGCTCTTTCATGACTTTTTGCTGCCGTCTCGATGTAAAGTGATCGAACGAGAATTCCAACATTTATCCATCATGCACCATTTTTCTGTAGACAATGAGCGCAAAAAGAGTAGATGCCTAACACGTTTGGAATCGATATTAACGAGTCAGGGTCATTGAATGAGGAAGAAACAACTTGAAAGCCTCTTTCAACAAAGAAGTTCTTTCATTACCTCTGGCATTTATATCAGACGAATGTCTGCGTCTTTATTTTGTGTTTTTTAACACCAACGCTTTCTAAGACCGCCGCTATGGCAGTTGCTAGAATGTGTTTTGTAACCGTCGATCGTTCCGAGAGATTATTTTTAGAAAGCACTGAGTTAGGCGCCACTCAGCAGAGATGGGGCAGTTTCGTCGTCGATGTATTTCTATGTGAATTCAAGAAGAGCAAAAGTCTGTTTATCTGTGAGTTCCACTAAAAAATGCTCTACAACTGATAGGTACATAAGACTTGGTAAAGCGTTCCTCGTTTCTTTCCGGCTATCAGCGATATGAAGATGACTCTTCCGGTAACGGCAGGCGTTGAGGTAATGCGGCAGTGTGAGTGATGACGGCACACAATGGGTCGTTTCTCGGGTTGGCTAACATTTGTGTTTTCGACTCGAAAATCGTGGCCTCAAACTTAACACCGGCAAAGCAGAGACACATAACACGTGAGTCCAACATCGTCTCGAACAAGTGAACAGTCGCCTCGCTTCTTCACCGACCAAGCCAAAATCCAGAGGGCGAATGAGTCGACGCTGATGCTCCGTCGGGCAACGTTTGCTCGAGATCTCTTTTGACAGAATTAGTTCATTCGCGTGAAAGGTGGCTCAGAAAAAGACTACAAACCGATATGAACGAATCGCGCGAATAAATTCGTGGTTTCCAGCATGCGGGTCAGAACTGGAACTAAAGCGGTGATTGGCGTACACATTATGGCAATTACGTATTAGAGAGGGAAACAATAACAAGCTTTTAGTGGGTGCAGAGGGTGTGGGAGGAACCACTGCAGGGGTTGCAAGAAACGGAAGCGTCATGGGAGCTGTCCAACAGAACGCAAGGCAACGCAGTTATGAATTACACCCTCAAAAGTTGCGGTAGTAATATATGAAGCTCAAAAGACCGATGTCTTCAAAGTCCTTACTCAGGTGTGCATCAATTCTGAACGTCTTCTGGAAGTAGTTGCTCGGCATCTGACATGGCTACCAGGACATTATGACTAGGTGGGCCGAGTGTTTCGTTCTTATTTAACACATGACGTTTGGCTCCGAAGCTTACACTGGTGCCATCTGAACATTTAGGCTTCAGTGGTCTTTGAAATTTATACTGTGGTAATGGAGAAACATAAAAGATTTAATAAAACAAGGAATCTCAATAAATACGCAGGTTCTGCCACTGAAACCAGATCACGTAGTTAGGATGGACAGAGGCTACTACAGGATTTAACTATAAGTTTGTCTCTGACTATGTCTGCAATCTCCAAACGAAGAAGAAACAGCTCCACTGAAAAGCTGCAGCGCCACGCCACCGCATGCCATGACCTTCTCTATTCTACCCAAAGCTCTTTCTAACCATTTTATGTGTGCCTCATTGATATATTCCGGCATTTTGTTAGCCTGGAATCGCCATCATTCTTCATAGATTAGGTCAGCCTTCCTTCCAGTTTCTGTTTGATCTCTTCTTCCTCTTTTTCCTACAATCGCAACTGATTTGTTGATCCATAGTTCACATCTTTTGACAGATCCGATGCTGAAGCTTAATTGTCAACGGGTGTCGTTGCCGATGGG